CGTTACAGTAGTCGTAGTCGACTGCGTCGTTGTCGTATAGTTGTCGACAAAGAGCAGGCTGTAGTCGGATGTACTCTGGAAAAGGTTACAAAAAATATATTATGAAGGTTATACAAAAAATTTAAAATAACTCACAAAGCGTACGAAGAGTTCACAATTCGGTCCGTTCGGAGGCACTGTCAGCTTGTCACCATTGTACGTATAAGCAGCATTCTGTTGAAGCAGGCTGAAGACGAGCAGATGTTTGCCACTGTGCTCCCCATCCGAGATGGTCCATGCCTTGGGTTCGAAGAGAGGAGTTGACCCTGGAACGCAGACAGCTCCATCCGAGGCATTGAACACCTTGTCCTCTGCATACTTCATCGTGAATCCTCTGGCAGTGTTTAGCACCAAGTCTAGGGTCATATTCTCACTCGTAGGCGTTTTGGACTGACTCAAGCCTCGTCCCTTATCTTCGCCAACTAAAATTATTTAAGAAAAAATAAAAACAAACAGGCCTCTTACTTAGATATGTGTGAGCATAGACCTTGCCACCCAACTGGCTCCATGAGACTTGAAGTGATGTATTCCACATGCATTTTCCATCAATGTCTCCGCAAGCACCTTTTTCACACTTTGCGTCTGAATCGTTGTACTGGCGGTTGTTGAGCTTTTCGATGACCGAGTTGTTGACGCTGTAGGCGAAAGGTAGACTATGGAAATTAAGATCAATTAACTAAATTAACAGTCAAATAGAATAAGGAAGTAAAAACTCACGTGTTGTTATAGCTTCCGTCTAGTTTACCAACGTCAAGGCATGTGCTGAGACCTCCACCTTTTGGGTTCCGCACTCCGGCCGTGAACTTGATCGTGTTGATGTTCGACGCGTTTTTGCTGAGAAGATCCACAGTGCATCCTTTGCTGCCATAGTTGTACCGAAGCTCGCTGAAACAAGATATAATGTTAGTTACGATTAGTCTTAAAAAAGAATAAAAAATTCCTCACATGTAGCCGTTTTCGATTGAAACATCGCAGGCGTCCGGATACAGCTCCTTGAATTTACAACTACCAAGGTCAAAGTCCAACTTGTCGGAAGTTACGGTGTTGTCGGCGAGCAACACTGTGGTGTTGTTAATCATTGTGTGCTTGCCAAATCCGACTTCTTCGCTGTTGGCCTGTCCAAGAACTGCAAGTGCGATGGTGAGCAGCAGCAGCAGAGAACACGGCGTTGACGACTTTCTGGTCCAGGGTCCGGTGTCAAGCTCCGATGGAAGAAGGCAGTTGACGGGCATGAAGATTTGTTGCTGTAGACGATGTAGATGTTTGAAGGGTCGTGAGAGTTGGTGGAAATGAAGAAAAGCATTGGGGCTTTTATAGTAAAACAATCCAATGTTGTTATAGTAAATTAGTCCCAAAATTAGGAATTCTTTTCACTGACCAAAATAAATAAAACAGAGTGACCCCTTCCGAATCACCACTACTCAAAAACGGGACAAAATGGGTCGAAAAAGTGGAATGTAGAAAATAGGGGGAAAATGGGGCGAAGAAGTCAAAAAGCGGGCAACTTCCCCCACCCCCCCCCCCCTTGGTAAAGGGTCACCCTGAATTAGAATACCGTATTTACTCAAATAATTACCCTGGGTAATTATTGATTCGATATCTCGCTGGAGGGGGTAATTAATAGGGAGGGGGTAATTATTTGAGAGAGGCCAATTATTATTTCGACCTTTATATTTTTATTTTATCATAGGCTTATGAACAAAAATATACAATATGTTACCAAATACGGAGATAAAAAGTTGCGTTTTAGCTTTATTATCCCCTTAATATTTTCACAAAACGGTATTATAACATAAATACTTCCGTCATGGGATATATAAAGACATATTGGGCATGTATGTAAATATGTATAATTCCTAGTATGGGGATATAATATTTATTATTTTAATATATCCTTTATAATGTACTCAGAATAGTACTATACCGGCAATACTTCCGTCTTGGGATATATAAAGGCACAAATTCGATCAAGGATTTAAGGTATTTATTAGGATTTTGTGGGATATAAGTAATAAGGCTTATAAGGAATAAGGCCTATACCCTTAAATCTTCTTAATCTCCTATTATCTCTTACAAAATCTCCCCCTCGATTTCCCTCTTAATCCACAAAAATCATCGATTTTTTCCTAAATCCTTTTAATGTCTGGATTATTACCTGATATTGATCGGTAAAATGTTTTATTATTATGTAAATTCGATAATTTTTAATAAATATTTTTTAAATTAGTTAAGGAAAAATAGGGGGTAATTATTTGAGGGAGGGTAATTATTGTTTCGATCTTTGGCTAGATGGGGTAATTATTAGGGAGGGGGTAATTATTTGAGAGAGGGTAATTATTTGAGTAAATACGGTAACCCAACAATAAGTGTTTAAAGCTGAGGAAAACTGGCAACTACTGAACTTTTATTTGGATTCTCCTCAATTTTTCATCAATATCAGTCCATATTTTGGTACCTTTCCACAATTTTTCTTCATAATTTTCGGGTTTTGTCAGCCTTGGTTACATATTACTCAAAACTGGACCTTTAAACGTTAAAAATCTCTAAAAATAATTAATTTTTATTCCAAAATGATTGAAATAAACGTGAAAAAGAATTGGTAGCGAAAATGTTAAATTTATTATTATTTATTCTTTCATCCCCAAGATTTGTTTTATTTATAGATCCATTAAGCATCTTATTGGGCAGAGATGACTTAAATTATAAATATTTTAGAATTTTTAAAAATTAAAAAATTTTACAGCACGAGTATAAGATTGGAGCGTTTTTGCGGCCATCTATTTTGGCTCTCCTTAAAATCAACCTTTACGCGTCCAATGAAAAGCTCATGCGTCCAATTAATTTTTTTGTCCAATCGCGGGCGCTACCAGGTTCTTCAATTTAGTACAGTGAAATCCTTAGGAATAATCTACTCATCCAGTGTTATGATAGACTCGTACAATACCAGTCCAAACACGCAGAATCGGCTACTTATTAACGCAGATTGGATGCATATTTCATTAGACGTGTAAAGGTTACCGTATATCCTTTAATAACTACCCTGGGTAATTATTGTTTCGACCTGCCGCTGGAGGGAGTAATTAATCGAGCGAGGGTAATTATACGAGGTTTGAAATTTGAACGTGATTTAGGGCATTTGATGAGGGTAATTATTGTTTCAATCTATCGTTGGATGGGGTAATTAATGGAAATTGGTAATTATTTGAGTGAGGGCAATTAATAAGGTTATACGGTAATTGGACGCGTAATCTGGACAAGAGCTGTATTTTTCGCGGCCTTTTTTCGCAGACATTTTTACGAGCCGCAAAAACAACGCTCCAATTCTCCTTTAAAACCCAAAACCTTCTCTTTTCCTCCAATTAAATTTCCAAGTTTAATCAATCTCTGCTCATTCCTCTCCAAATATTGGGCAAAACAAAAATAATAAAAATCAGAACTTTCATTGTTTCCAACAGATTTATTCTCTTTTTGTTTTTGTTTTAATTTGGAAATTAATGTTTGACTACTTTTCTGAAAAAAAATTTTTTTAATGAATTTAGGTAAATAGGAAATCCTACAATAAAAGTTTTGTAAGAATTTGTTCTACTGTGAAGAAGAAAATTGTGAATAATTGGTTGGAGTCGGAAATAACTGAAGAAAAATTTAAAATTTATTTGGTTAGAAAATTATTTAGGGTGAGACATAAATAATGAGTTTTCCCTTGAGTAAAACGGATTTAATAATTATTAAAATTCCACAGAATTTTATCAGAATTGAAATTATATTTTTTATGATCCAAAGTGCCTATTTTCTGGCAAAAAATCAGAATTGTAGGAATAATTTATTAGGAGTTAGAAGCATAATCCAAAAATTTGTAATTTTGAAGCAAGGCAAATTCTGAGTGATTTTTCTCTACTTAATTGATGTGTAAAAATAAAAATTGAAATTGCTGTAAACATAAAGAGGCGTGCGTGCCATTGTCATTATTAAATCTCAACTTTTTCTGATTTTTCGTCTCTTGTTTTTTTTAATCCTTTAATTTTTGTATCTACTCGACTAGGGTTGGTGGATCCTTCGAAATCCCCCCGGATATCGTTCCGGAACCGAAATTTTTATTTTGGTATGAGTTGTGACTTAGAAGGTTTTGAGAATAATTTTTGGAGAGGCTACTCCATTGTAATAGGCCAATATGTTTCTAACTTGTAGCAAATAGATGAATAATTTTTAATTTAATTATGTACTTTGTAAACGAATAATTTTTATTTTTAGGCAGCTCGTCCATAATGGAATTACAAACAATTGTTTGTAGTTGATGGGATATAAGTGATTTTAAATGCGATTCTGTTTCGTTGCCGCAAATGTCGAGAGGCCAAATGAGGGAAATTACCTGAAAAATTTCAAAATTTTTTTTTCAAATTTTTAAAATCACTTCAAAGGGTGTCCACGCCGAAGGTTCCAAAACACTGCAAAAATCAAAACTTCGACAAAGACTTTCACTTAACTTTTAAAAATTGATAAAATATTTTTTTAATTAATTTAAACCATTTTCAGACATTGCCTAATAGAGCCTTCTAAATTATTAAAAGGATAGGGGGTATTGCAAGTAAATTCGTTAAGTGACCGTCGAGAGGTTGAAAATTCTGAGAGGAGCATTTGAAGGCTAAAAATTAGATTTTTAATTTTATTGTCAGAAAAAATTATTATAGGCTGGTCATATGGAACCTTAAAGACGACGGAATTTTTTGACAGGTACAGCTTGAAGGAAAAAATTTTCCAACAAGCCTACAGAAAGGGGGGATTTTACCGAACATCCTTGGGCACCTTCATATAATATAAAGTTTATCCTGCGACGTTATTGCTAGGAGCTTTACTGACTGATATATAGGGACGTTCACCTTCTTTATTGAAAGACACAAGCCTAGTAGTTGTTTTAAAATTTTTTTACTGGACCCCTTCTTGATTTTGATTATGAAAATTTGGACTTACTGGTCCTTATTTCCTCTAGCCAAAGTCACTAATTTTTCTATTAAAGCAAAATTTCCACCAGCCTTTTCAATAATTTCATTCAAATCCTCATTATTAAACTGTTCCTAAAATGGACTTGAAAATCAAAATTTTAATCCCCTTAAAATTACTTCAAATCCAAATTTCCTCAATAACTGTCCCAATTCATTAATTTCCAATTCATCCCCTTTCAATCTAAAAATATCCAAATAATCAACTGAAGTAAACAAATCATTACTGGTACTTGTTGCGAGAATTTTACAATTGTTAGGCTTAAATTGAAACTTTTAAAAATTGTTTTGGTCAAAATAAATTTTTTGGATAAATAGAGGATGAGGAGAGAGAGATACACCTCAGAAAAATTATCCGCAAGAAGAATCCGCAAAAATCGAATAAGCTTCCACCTTCCCGCCTCATAATTCTTTAGTACTTATGTATTAAATCGGGTGTCTTTTGTTCAAGTGATATACCGAGACTATGCTAAACAGACCACCAAATACCGTCAGGCATCTAACCTGACAATGAGTCTCCCGTTAGGTGCAAGTCAGTCAGTAGTTTTTCTAATTTTGCGGATATTTTCTTGCGAATGATTTTTTAATTATAGAGGTATGTATTGTCCGAAAATACCGAAAATGCCTTGGATAAAACATCTAATTTAGTTAACGTTTCCAATTTTATCAGGAAATTAAATTAAAAAAACATTAAATTTTCTTTAAATCACCCTCCCCTCTCACCTTATATTCATCAAAGAAGCGAACAGTTTCGGGTTTTAAAACTCCATCCAAAATTAATAAAAACTTCTTCTGAAATTGGATTCATTTAATAAATTTTTGTAAAGATTTACTGGAATATTTTCAAGTGTCGTTTTGAGTTTATTTCCAATCGAAAGGCTTTGGGCAGAACCCAAAAACAATCCTTCAGTCTCTACTTGAATCATATCAACCTCATCCTTTGGAATTATTTCTTCTCTTTTTTCAGTAAAATTTTGAGTTGAATCAAGTGAAGAAATTAAAAGACAATCTGTTGCTAAATTTAGGGGGCCTTCTTCATCCATTCGGCGATCTGTTAGCCTTTTAAAAATATTTTGGTTTTCTTGTTTTAAGGGTACTAGCTTATAAGATTTTAGTGTTTTTGGGGAACCTATTCTAAGCTTCAAATAATTGTTTTTCGATGAACTACACGTGATTTCAAAGGGCAAAAATGTTAAGGGTTTTCTTAACTTGTTAATTTACATTTAATACTATGAGGCTAGGGATCTAGCCGAGATAAAAAATAAATTTTTAACTTCGGGAACGCAGAGAACAGAAATTCCCGAACCAAAAAACGTTGGGAATCCCTGGTTCGGAATATTTTTTGGAACTTTTTGGGGATCTGGTAGGCTGGATCCTGACCAAGGATCTAAAGCAAGTCCTTAATGAATCCAGCCTTTGTCTTAATTAGGGGTTATTTGGACATTTTAATGTCACATTTATAAATTTTCTTACCAAATAACACGATCAAATAGTGCAAGGCTTACTTCTGGTTTTTCCCACAATAGGGAATTGAGTAAATGAGTTTTGCCACAACCAGGCATTCCAAAAATTAAAAACCAATTACTATCTAATTGAATTGAAAATATTAATTTTTATTCAATACATTTGAATCTCATTATAAGATGACAATAAATCATATCTTATAAGCTGTATCCTAAATAGAGGGTATCACCTAGACAGCTTCCCATCCGAGTGGCAATCAGTGGCTAATCAAAATTTAATAAGGGTTTCCTAAATAGAGGTGTATCCACTATTGTGTTATCTTAGAATGAATTTTGAAATCTTACCTTATAATGAGATGTATATTAAATGGAGGTTATCGTTTATAAAATCTCACACCCAGTGGCTAATAAAAATTTTATGAATTATCCTGAATAGAGGTAGTTCTAGTATTGGGTGTACCTTATAGGGAGGTTCTGACTTATTTAAATATTTACCTGAATTATCGCAAAACTTTTCTATTCTCTCCCCAAGTTTGTCCAAAAGTTTGTGTCTAAGAACGCTTCGATTTCTAAGCAGAGGGACTCTTCCAATGCTTAATAAATGCCTTTGTTCTGAAGAGATAAGGTCCATAATATTTAAATTTGTTAAAAAATTGGCTTTAAAATTTAAAAAAAATTTTTTTAAAAATTTCCTTCAAAAGGTTCCTTGTCTACAAAATTAAATCGATAAATGCCTTGGATTGCGCATAGATTTGGAGGGAGGGGGATTTTTCGTTGTTGGAGGCCAAAATGAATGGTTGTTGTGGACAGAAAATTAAAGTGGGAAGATGAGGGAAGAAAGGAAGGGATGAATGGGTGGTGGTGGTTTGGTTGAGAATTTATGTGACCATTATTTTATAGAAGGTCATAAATATACCTATACATATATTCGTAGTTTGCCTATGAAAAATGTTTTTTGGTAATAAATTGAGTAGAGTTTTGCTTTTTGACTAGAAATTAATATGGTTCCAAAGGATTTTCAAAATTCCCTCAATTTAGTCAAGACGAGGATTAGTGTAGGGGAAGAATGGATTCAGGGAACAGTTTCTTGTTTCGACAAAGTTCTCAGGTACATTTACGACCTAAGGCTGTTCAAGCCCAAATAATTTCTAACAAAGATAAAACACTCTGCTCCAAAACCCCACAATTTTGAATTATTTTTTGACCAAAAATTTTTCTTGAAATTCCTTCAAAAGTTATACATAGATGACGTGATTAGACTGTATACAAACAAATATTACAAAATTTTCTTTGAGTCAAATCGAGTAGGCATTGAGTGATCTCCATCTTTGATAGTTCCTATTGGGTACTAATTAAACACTTATAAGTCCTTTTTATTTTTTATTTCCAAAAATTATATGTCCATACATTTTAGTTTTATTACTAAAATATTAAAAAAAGATTATTTTTACTTAAATTCTTTGCATAATTTCCATCACCATCAACAACACCTCTACCTACTTTTTTAATCACAAAAACACCCAAAATCAGCCAACCACTGAAAAAAGATTAAAAAATGTGAGAATGGGTGAATAAAAATGACAAAAAATGTGTGTTTAATCCCTTTCTAGTATTCAATCATTCGAGACCCTCAAAATTATTTTAAACAAAACACCTCTCTCTCATATTTTCTTGTTAAACTTTTCGATTAAAATAATTATTTATTTTATTTTGACTGAAAATTTTTCACTGAAATTTTTATTTATTAATTTTTTTTGTTGATTTTGTGTCTCAGAAATTTTTTATTTTTATTTCTAGAAGATTAGGGAGGTGATTATAAATAATAAAAAATTATAAAAAATTTGTCTAGACTTTTTTTAATTTCCTTGTTGTCCTAGTAAAAAAAATTTTTCGGAATCTGATTTGCATATACATAAGTCTAATCCAACATACAAAACTACCTATATTTGATTTGACACACATTTTTATATTTCTCATTTTAATGCCAGACCTTTAGTATCCGAGAAGCTATCTAATTTTTAATAATCCGAGATTTGACATAGATCTTTTACTGATATTAATTTAAAAAATTTTTAATCAAAAATCAAGTTTCAAAATACCATATAACCTCTACCGATTGCCCCTCCCCCAATTACTTGTCACTCCAGTAAGTTTAAAACAATAATTACCCTCCCTTAAATGCCCTATCCCACATGTTCAGATGCCAAAATTCGAATAATTGCCCTCCTTCAACTATCTAGCAAGATGTTGAAAAAATGATTCCCCTGGGTGATTATTTAACGAAATACAGTATGTTCATTTTAATAGGTTAATTAAAACAAAGTTTATAGCCGGACCTAAATTTCAAATACCCACAAATTTAAATACCCCTCGTTTTTGAACGCGAAGCTTTTAGGGGTTATTTAAGACCAAGATCTGATTATATTTTGAATAGAAAGTCTGCTCATTTTATTAAATACATGGATACGGATATGGATACAGACAATGTCAAAATGCCTGCGGGTATCCGCCTGTATCCGTCTGTATCTGCCGTAAATATGCGGAAACGGATACCAAGATCAGTATCCGTGACCATGCCTGATTAAAATTAATTAATTTAATTTGTATCTTTAACTAAAACATTTTTCTATTTTACAAAATTTTCTTCTCAATTTCTCCCCCATTTTTTCTTGTTATGACCCCAAAACTTGTTGAGGTATAAAATTGTTTCCTTCTTATTTTCTGTTCCACAGGTTCCGCTATATTTGCGCAAAAATAATTTTTATTTTTAATAAAAAGTAAGAAAAAATATGAGTGATTAGGTCATGAGAAAATTACTAAAAAAATAAAAAGGTGACAAAAGATCCCAAAAACAATAAATTTATTTTTTATTGTTTTTGTTTGTTTTTTATTTTATTTTTGACCAACAAAAATAATTATTAAAGAAAATATTGCCCAGCTTCTTAGTAAATATAATTTATTGTTTTTGGGATCTTTTGTCACCTTTTCTTGGTAGTTAATAAAAACCACCTGATTTTTTTATTTTTATTAGTTTTCATTTAATTTTAAAGCCTTTAATAATTTTATTTTTTATTTTATTTATAAATTTCGATCAAAAGTTACTAAAAAACATAAAAATATAATAAGTTTGCCAGAATTAGTTTACTGGCCATAATTTCCTTTCTATTAAACCGAAAATTTTTTAAAGGGTTATTTAAACACAAAGCTTTAAATTTGCAACTTCTAGAATTGAAAATTCCCGCATTTTTCAGTTTCTGGTTTCGAGAATATGGAATAAACACAATAGGCACTCAGGGCTACAATAGGCACTGTGGCTGATAGGTACTCAGGGCCACACAATATGCATCAAGGGCCAGGCAAAATTTCGTTTCGCTCCTTCGTGCCCTTTTTATTTTGTTAGCGAAATTTGGAAAATTATTGTTTCGCTTTGCTCTGAAATGAAATTTTGTTGTTTTTTTGTTAATTACGATTCAAAAAATTTTGGGAGCAGGCCAACTTACCGCGAGCCCAACTTACCGCAGAACTATAACTTCGTTCAGAATTGTCAAAGCCGGGACGCCCTGGTATGGCTAGATGCGCCTCGACGAGCTGAATTGAACTATAGCAGATCGTCGCGGATTCGACCATTTTGAACGAAGTTATAGCTCTGCGGTAAGTTGGGGTGTACCCAAAAATTTTTTTCCTAATTTGCTCAGCCCTGTGTTCAATGAAAATTTCTTTTCTTAAATATAACCGAAAAAACTCACATAAAAATATCCTCCAAAAATCGCCCCAATGTCCATAAATTGATTCATAATTTTTATTTTTTCTTTTCCGTATTTTTATAAACAAAATATTTATTTCTCGCACTTTTATGGCTTTTCAAGAGCCTCTCAATAGCATTTCTTCTTTTTTATTTCAGCAAATTGCTTTTACTTTTTATGTTTTTTGCTTAATATATATTTTTATATTTATATTATTTTTGTTTTAATTAATTAATAGTTTCTTTAAAATAAGAGTTTTCCTCCTACTAATTTAATTTTTGATTAACTTTGAGGATTTGCTAAGCAGGTTCTGAGTTTCCTCATTTTTCGAAGGATATCTGCTAGAAGTTTTTTATATCAGGATTTTCAGCTATAATAAAAGAGATCTGTAACATCCTCTGTCATGTCGCGAGCCTAAACTTGTGAGGCACTAATTTTTGATTTACTTAATGCTCTTTTTTTTTAAATTTTTTTTCCCTGATTGACTTGATAAATGCAGTGAAAAAGCCCATTATCATTGCATTTTCTCCTAAGCAATCTTCATCTTATGTCAGCTCATTATCAGTTCGGTTCAGAAGAAATATTTTAGCCCGGTCTGACACCTCCTTCATAACACATTCCCTCATACGTCTACTCGAGCTCGTCCGAGTGTGAAAAACCTTGACTTACAACGTAAAGGACTTGGATATGCTTTATCTCTATCCTAGGTTATCATGTCATTTGAATGCATTAAAGTATCCAAAATGCATTTATATGTATACCGAGATTAATTAAATATTAAAAATCATTTTATAATTTTTTTTTATTTTTTTTTCTTTAACCAAACGTCACTTTACTCTAGTTTACTTCTAAAATTTCTGCTCTTGTTGCATTTTTGATTACAAAATTAATTTATCAATAAAATTAATTTTGTTATCAATAATACTCCTCTTTTTTAATTTTTGGCTATACTTTCTAATTTTTTTGCTGACTTTCAATAATTATTTTATTATATTTTGCCTCAAATAATCTTCTTTTTTAAGGGGCCCTTTATTTGCCTTTTTTCTATTTTTTGGGAGAATTTTTGGGGAGAATTTTTAGTTATCAATTTTTGTTGTATATTTTTATTGTAAATTTTTTTTTATTATCACTCATTCACTACAACATTTATTTTTGCTGTTCCCTAACCAAACCTTTGAATAAAAACAAATAAAATATTTATTGTTGTTATACTCTTGCTTTACATACTTTTTAACATTTAATCTTTAAAAATTCTTGAATTTCATTGTCCTTTTTTAATAGTCTTTTTTGGGTAATTAAGACAGCCTCGAAGGCTTTTGAATTTTAGATACATAGGGATTGTTGAATATTTTAAATGTCTCGATCAAATTTCGTTAAGACCTGACAAGACATTGCCCTCAAAACCAAACTGAGCTAACGTACCAAAGAAGAATCTCGATATCAAGGATACATTATATTGAGATTAGAATGTATTTGTTAGCAAATAGCAACCCAATATCTTACAGCTTCAATTAATACTTTAGTTCTCTTCTTAAGCTCAAATACAACCAGAGCTGTTAGACGTTCTAAGCTTAATTTGATTTTCAGCTTCGTCCTTTCCAATTCTGGGGCGAAGGAAACTAGACGAAGGAAAACTCAAACGGCTATGGAGTTCGAATCTTTCGGAGTAGAATTTCAAATATTCTCTCATTGTTCTGTGAAATTGAATAGAAAATCAATCCCAAATTTTGTTAATAATATTTCATTTTAAACCCTTATTTATTCAAAATAACCACTTTATGTAACTGACACTTTTTAATATCTACGTGGAATAATTTTTTACACCTCTACTAAATGTATTATTTCAATAAAGAAAAATTGGGAATGAATCATCTCATTTTATATTTTTATTTTTGTAATAATTTTCTTATTTTTATTCCTCTTGTAATTCCCACCCTATATTACAGAAAAAAACAAAAAATTAATTTAAAGTTGAAGGAATATAAATTTAAACCCAAACGGATGATAAGGCAGACAATCGCCCCGTTTCACGTTGAGGTTTTCCCGAAATATTGCCTGATAGATTAACGCAACATGGGGCATTTTTTAGGATTAATTCTGTCTTAAAATCCGGTAGGAACTGTCCGTTGTCCTTCCCTAGTTATTACTCAGCCTTTCCCTTTTTGTGTAAAAGCAATGTCGACTTTATGGTGCTTTACGCTTTTTGTAGATACACCCCAGTTTGGATGGGCCGTGTCACTCGAACTCCGATCCGAAGAAATTTTGAAAACCCGGAACCCGACTTGCATTTTTTCTAAACCCGGCTGATCCCTGCACCCTACCCCAATGTGTTTATAAGTAGAAAAATTATACTTAACGAGAATTTACTTACATATCAGGGAATCTGCCGACTTGATTCCCAAAAATCTGTAAATTCCCGACATATTTTGGGTATGAATTCATGATTTTCGAAATCGTGACTGTGTACATTAGGACTCAAAACATTAGTAACAACTTTATCGTGAAAGAGTTCCTCTTCTCTATAATTTAATTTTAAAATTATTTTCAAGAAAATTTTAAAAAATAATGGAAGAAAACCAAATATTACCCCGTATTTGTATATTAAATAAATCCGCAGGAGTTAATGAATATGGATTTGATTTACATGCGGAAATGGGAAAGGGACAATTTGTTGGGGCTGTGGATGTTGGAAGTCCGGCAGAGGTGGTTTTTTTTTGATTGAATAAATCTATCTTCGTGTTTTTCAAGCAGTATTTACAAAAGAATTATAAAAAATTATTTATTAAAATAAATTTAAAAATATAAGATATCTGGTCTACGCCCCTTAGACCACATTTTGGCAGTAAATGGTGAATCTATAGAAGGGTTATCTCACAAAGAGGTACTTTACTTGGAGAAAATCCAAGACCATTTTTAAATTTTGAAAGGTTGTCCAACGCATTAAATCAAGCTCTAAGGGCTGTTCTTTGCTTGTGTTGGATGAGGAAGGGTATATTTGGTACTTTCTCTGGATCTGATTATTAAAGAAAATTTTTCTTTTACTTAGGGCCAAGGAAAATAATTTGTCTGCAGAATATTTACTTCAGCAACTTAACACAATTCCCAGCAATGTTGTTGAACAACAGCGTCCAGTATGTTTACTTGCAGTACGGGACTACTGTAGATTGAGGGCAGTTCTGTAAAATTAAAGTTTTTTGGCTCCAGCTCCGACCCACTTCAAAGGGGCTTAGGGTTCAAAATTAAGCTATAACTGTAGCCTGCTTCGGAGCTAGTTTTATGAGTAATTCACAATACTGATTGAGGCGTTTTTCAGACTCCTCTCATTCTCAGTACCCGCTCTCTCTATTCTACAGTACATCTACAGTACTCTCTCATTCTACAATACATATGATAATAAAAAATTTTTTTTATAGCAACCATTTCCTAGAGAGCCAAATCAATTTATAGAAAGTGGTCAAATATCGCAAATTAGTCCACCTTATAGGGTAGGTATTTAATTTAAATAGACCACACATTTCCCGGTTTCTTTCTTTTTACCCGGTTTTGCCTGGATCATATCCTTTTTTAATTCCCGGTACCTTCCCAATTCTGCTTCATTTTTTGATTCCCTGTCCCAGTTGTTGACTCTAGCTTTCTCTCATTACTTTCCCCCATTCTCCTATCCCTTTTAAATTCGAAAGAATTTTAAAAATTAATTCTAAAAAAATTTTCTGTCACGTTTTTCCTCTCCCCATCCACTCCATTTAATTTTAAAAATTAATAAAAAAGGAAGAAAATACAACAGAAGAGAGCGGCTCTTGCTCCATTGGCCTCCCATTTAGCGGCTCTAACTCCCCTTATTCTTCTCGTCATCAACAACATTTACTAGTTAATTCACAACAAATTCCATTGGAAATGGGGGATGAAGAAGAGCAGCTTTTATCGAATGGGGTAAGTTAAAAAAAGGAATTTAATTTTTTAGAATTTATTTATTATTTATTATTAAAGAGTTCAGTGAATTTTTTAAATTTTTTCGAATTTTTAATAATTGATTTAATCATTTTTAATAAGTTTTCATTGCGTTTCGATCTATAAAAAATTTATTCGGTATTCCGGGAGATCTTCATTTTATTTGTAACTAGTATTCTTCACAATAAAAGAATTCTCGTACTATGCTTACATAAAAATCGCTCGCACGTCTTGAGCCATTCATTTATTTGTTAGCGACAAGTCCAGGGGAAAGAAGAAGCTAAATGCTTACATAAAAATTAGTGTTTTTAGGGTTGTTCCGGCCACGGAGAAATTTTCGAGGAACCAGCAACACGAAGGGTCCTAGTGTTTTGTCGCTTTGTGTTGAATCAGCTGCGCTGAAGACGCTAATTTATGCAACGCGTAGCAGCGGCTTCAAGATGTGCGCGCTTTTTATTTAGGCGTAGCTTTAGGTTATCTAACCTCTATTTACGAGAAAAAAATTTCCTAGGCATTCTACATATTCATATTTTACATGTTTTAATTTTTTAATTTCTTCAGACTAATATTATTTTAAATATTTTTACAAAAATATTTTGAGGGATTTGGAGGTGTTTAATAAATATTTAATAATAAATATGTAAAGGATTTGAATATTTTTTCTTTTTAATTTATTTAATTCTTTCCCTATATTTTTACTATTTTAAATATTTTCTTTTTTCATTTACTATACGATTATTATATTTAATCACTACCCTTATACATAAAAACAAATTCCTCTAAAATAGCTTCTAAGCTTTTCTGATTTATTTAAAATTTTAGAGAAGACTTTCTAGCCTCTTCAAGAAGAAAATTAATTTCCGTACTCGTGCCTAAACACGAAGTAGAGATTCTGCCGACCCTAAACCGTCAAGAATTTCCGATTGTACAGATAGTTTGATATTTACCTTCCGCTATTTATGCCACCCAACTGACATGAGCTATCGGGGCCTGCTCTACCTTCTCTTTTAGCTCGACTAGTAAGCGTTAGTAAGCTTGAACCTTCGACTAGTATTTATTTTAAATTCTTGTCTGACTGATCTCTCTTTTTCCTTGACTTGCTTTTTGGAAATATTTCTGAAATTTTTTTTTATTAATTTTCCAATCTATTATTTAATATACTCCTTTTGTCTATTTTATAGCCTTGTCGAGCCTTCAAAAAACTTTTTTCTATTTTTGCATTTTATTTTTGGCCACGCTAATAAATTGTCATAAAATTGACAAAAATTCTTTATATTGTATTTTGCCACGTTTTATTTAAATTTTATGATCCTTAACCAATCATTGTTCAAAGAATATTTTATTTTCTAAACAAAAATTTTCATAATTATTTCCCTTTAACAAAAAAATTTTTTAACTTAATTTCTAAATTAACCCCTCGATTTAAGGGACTATTCTTCTATTTAATGAACACTAATTTTAACTACTTTGTTACTACTCGTTTTTAATTTTATGTAGGAGGTTGAATATGTAGTCCTATCTCATTCCTATATACTTTCGATATTACATATACCCTCAATTTAAGATACCCCAAATATTATCTACACCAGGAATGTTACGGGTAGAGGAAAAAGGTAGGGGTAAGATTTTGGTTCGAAAATTTCTTGAATCTGGTATCGAGTTGAAAATTCTCCTAATTTCGGGTATCGGATTACCCGTGACATCCTTGATATACTCAATTTAAGATATTTTTAAGATTAGGTATTTGCCATTGAATATACGAGGGAGCTACCTAAGCTATATCCCCAATATCAAACACTTCTCTTTCTTATTGCGATTTTTCAGCTAAGATTTTTAGCCTCTATGTATAAGGATTAGATTTGGCATTAAAAACAAGCATAAAATTAATATCCCATACAAACATATATTTATCACAACAATACAACAATATACATACATATACATACAATACAATATATAATGAACAATGGCAGGGAATACAACTCAACCTGCAAATATATAGGGGAATATTGGGAAATATACATATATAGGGAAATTTGGGTATATAGGGAAAATAGATATATAGATTATACACATATATAGATGGGCATATAGCCTAATATGTGAATATATATAGGGGATATAGGGAAATATATAGATAGGCATATATAGCCATATATAGAGAGAAATACAATTTGTTGAGAGAATTGGAGAGAATATTGGGGGTTTGGGGAAATAGAGAATGAATGATTTACAGATTATTTACAAATTATATTCTCTATATATCTCCAATTTTTATCTTCTCAACTTCTCTCATCTCCTAGTTTATTTAGCCGCAACCATCACTTCATCTCCACAATTTACTGTTCCGTCTCTTTAGCCTCCGACACCATATCCGTTGGAACATCCGACGTCGTACCTGCCTGTTTGCTCTTTGCAGCGTCCGACTTCTCCGGTGCCGGGTCCTTCTGCAGAGCCGAGTCCTTCGAAGTCGTTTCCTCCTTCGGGGCCTGGTCGTTCTTCACCTTGCTGTTCTCTGTCTTTTTCCCTCCGGCAGCTTCATCCTTTGATGGTTTCTTCCTGACAATTTTGTTTAGAGTCACTTTCAAGGCCCTCCTTGTCTTTATCGCGTCTTCGACTCTCTTGTTGAATTCTTCCAAAGTCTCGCCTTTTTCCGGGATCATTGCACTCTGCAAAAAACCCGAATTAAATTTATATTTATAATTTTTTTAAAATTCACCTTCTTCCGCCACTCCCGGAAAGTCCCAACTTTGGCAAAACCCTTTTCCTCCAATGCCGGTAGATACAATTCGTAGAGAATTTTTTCGTTTTTTTCCGCGTTCTCCTCGTCCTCCTTCTCCATCCTTTCATAAATCTCATTGACAAATATGTTATGCACCGACCCCAGATTTATGACAGCGAGTTTACGGTTTTGTTCAGCAATCTCCTCTTCGTCTCCAAGGTTGAACCAGAAAGCTCTGAAAAAAATTAGCAAATTATCTCTCTTTTTATCTCTCTTTCTATTACCTCTCTTTTTCGTCCTCTGCTTCCGCTGCTTCAGTTGCTGCTGCTTCCGCTGCTGCTGCTTCAGTTGCTGCTGCTTTCGTTGCTTCTTCTTCTTCTTTTTCCTTTTGTTGTTTTTTGCGGTAGTCGAGCCCAGCATAGACGCAAACCCCAATCATCGCGGAAACAAACACCAAAACTAACAAAACAAATATCACTTTCCCAGCACTGCTTCCCTTTTTGGTGTCCTTTACTTCCACATTTGTTGTAGTTCCTTGCTGCGGTCGTGGCGTTGGAGTTGTTCCGATAGATTTTGTTGGTGTGGTCGATGATTTTGTTGATGGTTTGGTCGTTGTAGTTGTGCTTGTAGTCGTTGTTGTAAGGTCGACATGAAGAAATTCGTAGGCTGGCCTATCCTGAAAGATAAAAATTAGTCGAGTTTTTGGAAAAAATAGAAGAGATTACAAAGCTAATGAAGAAAGTGCAGTTTGGTCCTTTTTCCTTAAGCGTTCCCTTGTAAGCGTTATTCTTATACCGTATTGTAGCCGTTTGCGGAAGTAAATGGAAGACGAGCAGATGTTTACCCTTCAGGCCTTTGTCTTCATTCTTGATCTTCCATGTTTCTGGGTTAACAAGGGGGTTTTTCTTTGGAGCACAATAAGACTCCATTTCAAAAAATTCGTCCGCACGTTTCGGGTCAAGGTCCATCTTTACACGGCTATTATTATATATCTCCAGATTGAATTCCCTCTTAGTTCCATTCTGTCCTTCTTCTGATCGATCCAGGCCCGTCCTATATTCACCAACTAAAATCAATCTTTTTTGAATTAAAAATAATTGTCGTCTTACTTAAATGGATGTGCGCATGTACAAAATCCTGACATTTGCTCCATGAGACTTCAAGAAATGTCTGATTTATGCACTTTTGGTCTTTTCCGCACTTGGTGCTAGCGCCACACACAGCATTATCATTAACTTCTATTGGCCCTTTATTGTGCTCTGTGATATCCTTGTTGTTTCTGCTGTAGGCGAAGGGCAAGCTATAAATAGATTTGTTTAATTTAAAATAACTTTACGGATCTTGTAAATATATATAACTTCTATATAAAACTTAACACCTACAGATTTGCAAAGCCATGTTCAAAATTGGGCATTTGACCGCGGCAGTCCTCCAGATCGCAACTACTTTTCATCCCGGTCTTGAATTTGATCATATTCGTTTCTTTGGTGATCAGTTCCACAGTGCAATTTCTGCCATCATATAGAAGCTCACTAAAAACAACAAACTTTATTCATTCAAATCTTAAAGGATCAACTTACATGTGTGTCTTGTTGATTGCGAAATTACAGACAGTAGGAAAGCGCTTCACGTACTCGGCATAAGTTAAGTCCTCTCCGGCCGGCTTACTGTCCCCTTTGAGCGTCACATCGCTTCCATTCTTGATGTGGTTGGCGACTCCGACTTCCTCACCGTTGGCCTGTCCAGGAACTGGAAGCAGCAGGAGCGCGGCGATGGATACCAGCAGCAGAGCACAAAGCGTAGTCGACTTCCTTGCCAAAGGTCCGGTGTTGTGGTCCATTGGATGAAGGAGGCAGAAGAGCATGAAGCGTTGTCTTGTTGTTTGTTTGGACGGTACGGTGTTGACGTAGAGTTGAAGTGGTTGAAGATTTTGTTGTGTTTGGAGGGAAGAATAAAACAGTCAACAAGGCTTTTATAGTAAATTTTGGTTGATGGCTAATTTAAAGCCTGATCAGATTTGTGTGCCATTCGCATGTAGATTGTTTAATCAGTTTCATATACCGTTAGAATTAATTGCAAATTCTCGAAATGCATGTTTTTAATTACTATAGAGATGAAATTATAATGAAAAAACATCTGGCATGATTCATTTTATTGAAATTCTTCCTGTTTTTTTAGATTTCTTATTTATAGTTTAATCACGTACAATTAGTATTCTTTCGGTTGCAGAAAATAGAACAGTTCCTCGGTTCCGGATGTAATTTGTTAAGGATGTTATGGAGATACGAGTTCTATATCTCAGAAAATCTTGTTCCCAATAACCGATATGTATTTCAAATTAAAATTTCGTTTCGGTCCTATTTACTATTTATGATCTTCTGTTAGATAAGCTCGAATTCACAATAATGCCACAGGAATATAATACTCCATACCAGGGATGTCACGGGTTACCCAAAACCCGATACCCGAAACCCGGCCTTTTTTTCGACCCGAAACCCGACCCGAGAATTTTTATTTTTCAAAACCCGATCCGAAACCCGACCCGAGTTTTCTCAAAATTTTCGCCCACGTCGCAGAAAAAGGGAAGATTTTTAGCTTAATGATCTTCGAAAATTCTGAAAATTTTCGCCTGCGGCGCTGAAAAAGGAAGAAATCTGGCTTCGGACCTTCCAGAATTCTGAAAATTTTCGCCTGCGGCGCTGAGAAGGGAAGATTTTTGGCTTTTTGGGTTTCCAAAATTCTCAAAATTTTGGCCTGCGGCGCAAAAAATGGAAGAAAGCTTCTTATCCATTAAAAACTCTCACAATTTTTGCCTGCGCCGCTTTTTTTGCAGCGACGCAAAAGATGATCAAGAGGTGTATTTGGATCAATAGTTGTATTGGATAGATATCACTGGTGTTGGACATTAATCTCCAAATCCCCTGATATTTTTCTGAATCAGGGTTTTCTCTCATTAATCAGGGTTCTCATCATATAATGGAATTAGAAATGATTAAGAGGGTATCATTAATTCTTCAGAGATTTGGAGGGATTAGGTTGATATAGGCTGGATCCCAATCCCGATTTTAGGTCGGGATCCCAATCCCGCTCAACTCTATTTAGAATATGAAAATTGCTCTACTCGTTTCCATTTTTTGCGCCGCAGGCGAAAATTTTGAGAATTTCAGAGGTCCTTGAGTCAGATTACTTTTATTTTCTGCGCAGCAGGCGAAAATTTGGAAAATTCATTACTAAATTAAAATTTTTAATGTTTTTCAGGTTTGACATATTAAAAAAAATAAATTTACAGATTTAAAATCAAAATCAAAGTTTAAAAACATTTATTTTTGTAAGGAAAAATTGTTTAAGTCTTATTTCCTACATCTGGATTCGAACCCAGCCCCAAACTACACCAAAGTGAACGTATTCAGTCAACTTAGCCACTCCACCATCGACCAACAAAAGTAAAATTGGGATAGATTATTGATATTTCTTCCCTTTTCCTTTAAAAAATTTTACGTCAAAATATCTAAAAAATAAAGAAATACTAAATGAAAAATGCGAAACAAATTTCGCATTTGGACCAAAATGCGAAATGCGAAACTTTTCGCACCAAAAAATGCGAAAAATGCGAAAGATGCGAAAGCGAAAGCAAAGCCCAGCCCTGATATACATATCACCCGATATTTATCGGAGGTATTCCTTTACTCCCAAAAATCCGTCTTAATCCCAAAATATCAGAGAATTTGAGGGATAAGGTTGAATTTGGGATATATCGGGGAGGATTAATCCCCTAAATATCTGATCACACACACACATTAACCCCCTAAATATTTGATATCCCCAACAGCTCCAAAAAATTGGCTTCATGTTCAAATTTTAACTAACCCGACCCGACGACCCGATACCTGAAACCCGGACTTTTTTCGACCCGAAACCCGAAACCCGATCCGAAGAAAATTTCGAAAACCCGATCCGAAACCCGACCCGACTTTTTGCTCAACCCGAAACCCGAAACCCGATCCGAGAAAAATTTTGGAAACCCGACCTGAAACCCGACCCGACATTTTTCTCAACCCGTGACATCCCTGCTCCATACTGAGGCTTCACAGCCTTTTAGTGGGCATAACTTACCTAAGTCATCTTTAACTTGATTTAGAGAGACCTCTAATTTAGATTAAAAAGTCCTGTGAATCGCTCATCTATTATTTCTTTTTCTCCTTTCCTATCCAAATTTGTCCCTATATCCCCTTTCAAGCTTAAAAACTATACAAAAATATAAAATAATTCCAAAATTAAGGCAAAAATATAAACAAACAAATAAAAACCTTCCTTTATTCTTTCTTCTAATCTTCCCCTCAATCTTCTATCCAAACACACAAACAAACCAAAAACAATCTTTTCGCTTTCTTGGCCATTCTTCTGCCTTTAAAGACGAATAGCTAAGAACACAAATTTCTTTTTATTTTATTGTCCAAAAAAATTTTTTTTGTAGAAAAAAGGTTTATTTAGCTTTTACTTTTTTCTTATATTTCAGTAATGCGTTTTTTGCTTTTTCATTTTTTTCCGTTTCGCCTACCTGATATTTGCAGGCAAAATCGTAGCACGTTCAAATTTTAATTAGAACTATTTTGGGGGCATATTGCACTTTAAAACCCGTGTAAATTGATTGGACCCCGATCCCATCCAACTCCGACTCCATCCCCTGACCATGATTCACCTAGAGCATTTAAAACACTTAGGCGGGAATTAAACGATCTAAAAAAATAAAAGATAAAGCATTAGTCGCCCCGGTAGCGCAATAGTAGCACCTGCATTTGTGTGAGTAAGGCCAAGCAATCACTGTCAGCGTTGTCGCATGCTCTTATCCTATCCGGTGGCTAAGCTTTTGCTAAACTCTTTTTGGCCTTCCTAGTCTAAAACACTGACATTCTCTGTCAACCCTCCACAAATCCCAACCGCGAACTTTTTAACCTCGAAGTGTATGGATCCACAATGATGATGAGGATATAATCATCCATGATGATCCACCATCCAGCGTCCATCCACCAACCCTAGAAGAAAGTTTGTGGAGTGTCCGCAAAAGTAGTCCGCAAATATTTTTTATTACACTTTTTTGCTTTCCCTTTTTTCTTGCTAAAAATCATCACTTTTTTGACAAAACCTTCAAAACCTTTCAGCTCGTTTTGTGTGCCTTTTCTTCCTCTATTCAATAATAAGCATTAAAAATATATTTAAAAGCATTACTAGACAATAGAAAATAAAAAGAATTGCGCACAAAAACTTGTATATCAAAACAAAAACAGAAAATAAAAAGTAAAATAAAATTTATTTTTCTATTTTGACTTTTAGGAACTTTTTTTATCATTTAAAATTTTTATTTTTTTTGATTGGGTGGATTTTTTTATTAAAAAAATATTTTTTTGATATTTTTAGAATGAAATTGTCTCTGTTCTTTTTTTTATTTAATTGAAATTTGATTACTTTTTTATGTAACCTCAAACATTTTGGTATTTTTTGGAGAACCAAAGGGCCAAAAAGTTGTGACTTTGAAGGGACATAACTTGGTCCATCTTATTTGGCCCTCCTTCTTTTTAAGATATAGGACTTGACATAGGATCTATGACTTGATACATCCTATGACTTGACATAAGACATAGGATTTGAGGCACTCCTGCCGTTTAAGGAGGAGCGCCTCAATGATCCACAAATATAACGTGGATCAATTGAAATTTTGTGCCAAAAACAGTGGTTAGAGGACTGCTGTCCCATTAAACGAGAGTGCCTAACATGATCCATAGGAATTGATCCTGATAAACCTCCCTCTCACTGACTAATTGTTTTCCTTTTTTCATTTATCAGTTTTTTTGGGACTCATAAAAGCTCAGGACGCATAAACGCTCACAGGACTCATGTCCCTAACTAGAGCAAGAAAATTTTCTTTGCCTGTTTAGTTCTTCTTTCAATAATTTAATTTTTAAAAAATCCGTTCTAACCAAAAATCAGAGCGCATTAACTAATTTTACAATTTAATTGTCTATTCAATTACAAAATAAATTACAAATCAAGGTAATTTCCGCCGTTGAAAAAGGGAAAAAAATGTTTGATGACTCATTTAAAAATACACAAATTTATTGTTTAATTTACAACGCGCAACTATTTTTAAAAGCAAAAAAAAAGATTGTTATCACCGCTAATTTTTTAACCTTTATATTTTTTAATAAATTTATTTTTAAACAATTTTTTGTTCTATTGTTCTTTTAAACTTTCATTTTAATGTAAAAAATTTATTCACAAAAATATTGGGATATTCCTCGGTGAAAATTCGTTCCAGTCTTGAGGCCATATTTTAGGCCACAACTTTTTTTTAAATAATGAAAGTAGGATGTAGCAGGGCCATTTTTGTGAGTTACACCTATTGGCCCAAAATATGGCCTGAGACTAGAGTTGGGCGGGATCGGGATCCCGGTCGGGATCGGGCGGGATTATCCCGGTTTTTTTGAATCCCGATCCCGATTTTTCTGATCCCGAACCCGAAAGACATATCCCGATCCCGGTTTTTGCCGATCCCGATCCCGAGCCGGGATCGGGACCGGGATCGGGATCATTATTCCGAATCCCGACCCCGATTTCGTCCAATCCCGATCCCGCAGTCGGGATCGGGACCGGGATCGGGATCATCATTCCAAAATCCCGATCCCGATTTTACGTCGGGATCCCGATCCCGCCCAACTCTACCTGAGACAAGTAGCTACCGTATATGCTCTAATAATTACCCTGGGTAATCATTGTTTCAACCTCTCGCTGAAGGGAGTAATTAATAGAGCGGGGGTAATTATTCGAGAGAGGGTAATTAATAGAGCATATACGGTATATTGAAGCATC